ACCACTCAACCACCGCTCAACCACCGGTCCACGGCAACAGTGGGAGTCATCGGTGGTGGCCATTGGTCATGGGCGGTCAAAATGTAAAGCTCACCAACTATCAATGCAAAGCTCACCAACTGTCAATAGAAAGCTCACCAAGGAACAATGCAAAGCTCACCACTTTTTTTTTTTAAAAAAAAAGCTAAGAAAGCAAAGCTCACCACACAACACTACAAAGCTCACCAATGGATAATGCAAAGCTCACCTGGAAATAAAGCAAAGCTCACCACTTTGAACCCCAAAACTCACCTTTTTTTTAAATTTTAAAAATTAAAAAATTAATTAAAAATAAAATAACAACACCGGTCAACCACCGGTCAAGGGCGGCGGAGTGTTAGAATAATAGACCAACGCTAGAGGGGGGCTGAATAGCGTTTGATCGTAGAAATCGTAGGAATTAAAAATTTAAGAGAGAAGTAAAGAAAAGAGTAAGAGGCACACTGAATTTTACCCTGGTTCACCACAACTTGTGGCTAATCCAACCTCCCGAGAGACTCTCTCGAGCTACACTACTATCTCGTTAAGCTTAACGGTGCTTAACAAACCCTTACAACTTGAGAGTTCGAGTCGCACGAACCTCAACGAATCCTTCAAAGGAAACAGCCCTTCCTTTGAATCAACCGAGAGAAATACTTTCTCTCAACGTGTCTAAGAACACAAGTACACTCAAGAACGAGACTCTCTTATAGAGTAGATTATGAGTAAACTAAGTACGCTCAAGAACAACTCAATATTCACACAATTTGGCTCTAGAAAGCTATGGAAAATGATGTTATTTGAATGCAATGAAAGTATGAATATTGTGAAGTGAATTGGTGAGAAAAGCAGACCCAAACACCCCTTTTTATAGTGCCAAAATAGGCTCCAACGGACCAATGCATTAAAGGGGTGATTGGCTTGATTTCAGGGATTGAATAAATTTGGGATCTGCAGGATATTGGCTTCCCATTGATGTTTGGGACTTACCCATCGCTGGTAAGCCAATTTTCCTTCAGTTTTGAAGTCAACGGTTACCTACCCATCGATGGGTACAAGCTTCCCATCACTGGGTGGGAGGTTGACTTCCAAACAAGGAAAGAATCAACCTTAAATGACCTTCAACGGTCATCCCTTCCCATCGATGGTTTAGCCTTACCATCGCTGGGCAAGGTTGTTCTGCCTTGTGTTGATTTTGCACCAAGGCTTTAACAGCGATGGGTAGAACTTCCCATCGTTGTTTGGCATGGTTCTGGAAGTTGGTTTGGCTAAGGGACCGCTTACCCATCGATGGGAAGATCTTCCCAATGCTGGGTGGATGGTTAGCAAAAAACCCAATGGTTTTTGCCTTAACCACGGCCTAGCCGACCAATGCAAAAACCGACCAAAAAATCCAAAGTTCTCCAAAATAAAACCAAGTGTTTAAAACACTTATTTGATGTATATGGCTAAGAAATAGAGTGAGACACTTTAAAAACCACGTCATTTGAGTGAAAACCACGGCTAGCCAAGTTTACACCGTTTTGAATGATTTTTTCCAAACGACCAAAAGCGAAAGATGGTTTTCAAAGTGTTTTTGTTGGAGAACCGTTTGAGCATGCAAAAGAGTGAAAATCAATCATAAAAAGTTGAAAACCACTCGGTTGGTTCGGACGCCAAAAACCAATGCCGATAACCGAAAGCCGAACGCCGGTTTTTGAAACCCGAACGCTGGATGGCTTGGTTTTTGGTTTGGGCGAACACCAAGTGTTTTTAATGACTTAAACAAGTTTGAAAAACATTTTTATGATGTGAGAAATGCAATGAAGGATTTTAGCCTAAAGAGCCAAGGTGTAAAGATTGGGTCGGTCTTGATCACAATGAGGACCGACTCAATGAAGCTAAGACTAAGGTCTCCGTTCTTGGTCTTCGTTTAGCTCTTGTTCTTGTCTTCCTTCTTCGCCTTGTATATTCAATGTTTGACTTGATCACGGCGGTTTGGCATTATCAAAACCTGTCATAAAAACAAACCCGGCTTTAGTACAAAAACGTGATAAGCTCGTGTTTCAACAATTTCCCCCTTTTTGATAAGCTCGTGTTTCAACATTTATTTACTTCCGCTTTTACTCTGCATTTATATCACTCACGTTTTGGATAATTATCCTAACATTTACTACACCAATTAAACACAAACATTTTCATAATAAATTGTCATTAATATCCCATCAATCAAATGTAACCGTTTTCACATTAAATAATCACTAATGTTTTTGTAACGGACGGTTCTCGGACCGCCCATGTAACCCTACCGGTCCGTTGGGTCGCGGGTGAACCGGGCCCACGGAAGGCGGGTGTTACAATTTGGTATCAGAGCATTCGGTTCTTGTGAAAAAAAAGATAAAAAAACATATTTTGTCATCTGGGTCAAAAGGTATTTTCAAAAGTCCACAGCCGCATCTCCCATCGCATCACTCCCAGGGAAAGGTACACCGTTATTTTTATTCACATGTATATCATATTGTAATTAGTTCTCATTTAAGTTAATTCCATAAAGAATGGGTCAAGCAGCAGGCAACGATAGACAGGCTGTCCCGCATGGGGAGCCTGAGCACGTGAGTACATATCGAAGCGTCATGCTAATTGCGTTATACGCTCACTTGATCCCATTTTGATACTCTACGATTATTAGATGAGTACCATCATTACCGGAAGCGTGTCAAGCGTTGACTCCAGTCGAACCTTCGTGCTCGGTAAGAGACGAAAGAACAAGAGGCAAAGTTACGAATCAAAAGAGCGCTACCAACGTGCACACCGCAAGGCTCGGATAGCAAAGCTAAGAATCTGGAAGCGCCGAAAGGCAGCATAGGAAAGAGATGATCCAGAGGAAACATTCAGTGTGGACTCTGCTAATAGTATCTGCGGCTCAGGTGGGGATAATCCTCCAGTGGACTCAGCCCGACCAGACGAGTGGGAGTGGGTTTCCTGCTAACTGATGACATAGTCGAAGCCGTAATCAATGCAACATTTCGTCCCACCTATCTAAACCAAATATGTTTCTTGAATGAATTCGTCAATTGGTCTCTAATTTATTATGCAAACGTATGCTTCACAAAATAAAGTTTTGGGTAACCCACTATCTCCCTAAAACACGTGAGGTGTGACTTGAGGAGAATTTCGGAGACGAAATTCCTTTAAGGGGGAGATAATTGTAACGCCCTACAAACCGGCTTAGTTTAAATAAATAAATATTATTTATTTATTGAGACTCATTATTTTAAATTGAGATTTTGATCTCTACAAATGGTTTTCAAAAGTTAATGTGTGTTAAATATAAAAAGATGTTTTAATAACGGACCTCTCAACATTAATTAAATAAATTAATTAATGATTGGGGTGGACCCATAAGTTTGAAAATAAAGTTCTTAGAAAAATTATTTGAACATGTCATTAAGTTCATTTTGACTGTCTGATTCCGGAAACACAAACGGATCTCAATTCGGACCCGTTCGGGGGAAAAAACGTGTACCGTTCAGGTCAGATTTTTACTCAACGGAGTAAATTTAGGGAGATAACTCCCATCCCACGCCACACCACTTCATCTCCTTCAACTCCCCATTAAAATCTCCATTAACCTCCTCATTATTCCTTCATTATTCTTTTCAATATAAACCCCCCCACTACATTCATGTTCCTCATCAATTTGTAACCCCCACCATCAAGTCCCATCATCACCCACTCTCTCTTCCCCTTCCCCCTGTTCGGCTAAGGCAGCAAGCAGCCCAAGAGGTCTCCGACGAAGCTCCGGTGGGTACACGTTTGAGGGAGAAGAAGAGGAAGAAGAGCTAGGCCATTCATGTGAAGCGTGATCGTCATTCCTCATCATCTTCGTAGTTTCAACGCATCATTAGAGGTGAGTAGTTGTCCCCTCTAATTCTAGAACATCAAGTTATAATCTATGTTGTTATATTCATAGGAATATCGTACGCAACCTACGTAGAAGCTATGCATGTTCGTAGGTTAGCCATTCAAAAGTCACTACGTGAAAATCGTATAAATTGGCCTAGGAATCACTAGGAATATATTCATAAATGTTTACATTATTGTTCTAAAAAGAATCAAGGTGTTAAGTTTGCAAAACGGATCAAAATAGAGCCAAAGACAGAAAACTGTCATCGGGACGGTCGACCGCCGCCACAGACGGTGGACCGTTTCCCTCAGCCATCCCGACGGTCACCACCGTGACGGTCGACCGCCGGCCTCGACGGAAGACCACGGTGGACCGTTCGTGACCCAGACCCCAGACCGTAGCCCACGGTCGACCGCCGGTAGGGAACGGTCGACCGTTCCGCGGGCAGTATTTCGAGCAGTTTGTAGAACGAGCCCCGTTGACCATTTTGACTCAGAATCTGATTGTGTGTTTGCATTAAATGTTAATCTTCAGCATGTATGTTAATTATATGATATACTATTGGCATCAAGCATTCATCATGTCCAATCTGAACACATGTATTCATCATGTTCATCCTAGACGCATGTCTTAGGTTTTCATCATGTGCATACCGTTGTAGGGAGGACTTTGTGTGCCTACTACAGCGGGCCCGTCCAGGAACCCTCGGGATCCAACGGGTTTTCATCAAGTGGGCTTTGTGTACGTACATGGTAGCTAGGCTACGGCTACCACCCGGTTTTTGCTAGTTCACTTGCGACGTTTGTCGAGCCCGGGTCATTACCGGAGTGCAGGGGTGATCTTGTCAAGTGAGACTAAGTCAGGGGTGTCCCTAATAGCATAAGTCATGCATCAAGTCATATAGTCATCATGTATGTTCCATGTCACGTCAACATTCAGTGTGGTTGTCATCATCATTTATGTTCCCCATCATGTTCATATTCAATGTGGTAGTACATCATTTTGTTATACGTAATGGTATTCCAACAGGTGTAAATTAACCAGTTAGTAACATGTGGTTTACCATACGTTAAGTACAGGTATTAATATGTGTATAGCCATATGGGTTATCACTTAATGTTCTTTTGTTAGATTCACTCCTCAGCTTTTGCTGAGCGTGTAGTTGTTTTTGCTACACGCAGGTAGACATGACGGTGCGGGTGCCAACCCTGGAGGACAGTGATGGTGGGAAGATGGGCGGCGCATGGACAAGTTCAATAACTGAATACATTTAATTAATTAATCATTTGGGCATGAACCCACCATTTGTCGTTTTACTCATTTATTTACTTCCGCTTTTACTCTGCATTTATATCACTCACGTTTTGGATAATTATCATAACATTTACTACACCAATTAAACACAAACGTTTTCATAATAAATAGTCATTAATATCCCATCAATCAAATGTAACCGTTTTCACATTAAATAATCACTAATGTTTTTGTAACGGACGGTTCTTGGACCGCCCATGTAACCCTACCGGTCCGTTGGGTCGCGGGTGAACCGGGCCCACGGAAGGCGGGTGTTACATTGTGACTCTATGAAAATGTTCCCCCTTAATAGATGCCAAAAAAATTCCCCCTCAATTTATGCATAACCTTGATATCTTCCCCCTTTTGACATTAACAAAAAGAATTAAAAGTGAACTTTAGAATTTAAAAGTAAACTTTTATTCATTAAAAGAGGAGAATATGCTGAATACAACGGAATTGAAATAGATAAAAAATGCAATCAAAGTAGGGAAAGGAAAGAAGGAAGAGTCTAGGCATCGACGTCCTCGTCCTCGGCGTCATCGTCATCCTCGTTGTCTTCGACGTCCTTGGGGTCCCCGTCGACCGCGTCCTCAAAGTCGGCCACGTCGGGGGAGGAGGATGGAGCATAGGAGTTATCCTCCTCGTCCTCGCCTTCATAGTTTTGGCCGAGGAAGGTGGTGTCAAAGGGCGGCGGGACATAGTTGATGCTGCGGAAGAACGCCCTCATGTCGTGGTGTTGTCGTTGCAGCGTCCAGTCCATCCTTTCCATGTACTGCCCCATGCCGTCCACTGTGAGGGTTAGCCGATTTAGGGTGTCAGCTATTGACTGCAATGAGGCCTTGGCGGGAGCGGGGCCTGGTGCCCGACTGGGTCCTGCGCCGGTTCTGTCCTTGGACTTCTTTCGGAAGGTGCTGTCTTGGATGATCCAAATCTTCGTCATCTTTGTGTCCGGGCCGGCGATGTGGATGTGGGAGGCAACAATGAGATCCATGACGAGGAAGGCGTATCAGTTCGAGGCGAGCCACCACTACCTCCGCGTTAGGCGGTACACTTAGTACTGCATAAAACGGGTTAACTAGCTCCGCGGTACCTACTATCGTACTTGGCGGAACTCTAGGAGCAACCTCTCTCTCCACACCGATGACAGGGCCCCCGCTTCTTAGGCCCACTCCTACATCTCATCCTCTGCGAAAAGGCCGCTCCGACAGTGGATGGTTGGTGCGCCGCTGTGACGGATGAGGTTGGTGATTCCAAGCTCTTGGATGACCAGCGCCTCGTTGTTGAGAATCCAATCATTGCCACCATATGTCGCGATGTCGTCACCGCGAGTGGGCAAGCCTGCGACCCGAGCAAAAGTAGCCAAGTCAAACTCTATGTCATAGAGATTGATGCTACTGCGGATGGTATCCCCGTCCAGGTGGAGATTGGAGTAGAAGGCCCAGACATAGGCGGGACTGAAGGAGATGCGGCTCTTGGAGACGAAGGGCCACAAACCCGACTCCTTGAGTTGATTGTTGAGGTCGTGGTACCCTTTTTGCTGGGGAAACCACTCGGGCAGCACCCTTGGCGGAGAGATACGGCGTTTAGCGAAGTGGGTGATGAAGCGAGTGAGTTCTTCCTCCGAGCCAAACTCGAGAAAGGATCCGTCCAGGTACGGAAAGGGTTGAGGCGCAGAGGTTGTGGCCTCAGTAGTGACCATCTTCTTGGCATCTTTGCTCTTGGACTTTCCTCCGGCCATGATTGTAGCGTTTCTTAAGAAAGATTGATGAGTTAAGTATAATTGGCTAAAGAAATGAAAATATGATGTTAATTGTATGTTAAGAAGGTAAGGGATGAGGTGAATATATATGGAGAGGAAGAAGAACCTGTGTGAATTCAAAAAATATGGCTGTTGGGCATTAAATTCGGTGCCCAACGGCCATAATTTTTGAATTTCAACTGCCTTCCCAGCGATGGTAAGAACTGCCCATCGATGAGAGGGTCGCTACTGGAAAGCGAGAAGAAAGCAAGGCTGCCTTCCCAGCGATGGTAAACTTCACCCATCGATGAGAAGGTGGCAACTGGAAAACCGATAAAACCTTATAAAAAATAGTGTCAAATACCCAGCGATGGGAGAAAGTTCCCATCGATGGGTAGGGAGGCTCTGGAAAAGTTTTTGAAACTGAAATCATTCACCCAGCGATGGGATAAAAGACACATCGATGGGTAGGGTGTTTCTGGAAAAAATTTTCTTTGACAAAAGTCCTTCACCCAGCAATGGGATGAAATACCCATCGATGGGTAAGGTGTTGCTGGAAATCCGTAAAAGGTTTTTTTTAAAAAAAAATAGAGTCAATTACCCATCGATGGGAGAAAGTACCCATCGATGGGAAGAGAGGTTCTGGAAAAAAAGACTTCCCTCCCAGCGATGGTACACCCCACCCATCGCTGGTACCCCCTGATTTCTAGAATTCTTCACTTTGAACCGTCCCTACAAAAAAGAGTTAGAAAACCCTTCGACGCTCAAGTTAGTAAACGTTCACACAAAGATAAAAGAGTGATAAAATGCACAAATTAGATCATCGTGGAGTCAAGGATTCCGAGTTCACTACGAATGCAGAAGAATGACTCTTTCTCTAAAGGTTTTGTGAAAATGTCGGCTAATTGGTTGTGTGTTTCAACAAACTCAATTTCGACATCACCTTTGAGAACATGATCTCTAATGAAATGGTGCCTAATGTCAATGTGTTTCGTCCTTGAATGAAGAACGGGATTCTTCGTCAAGCTTATGGCGCTAGTATTGTCACACTGAAGTGGAACGTGACTGATACTAAGGCCATAGTCCACAAGTTGTTGCTTCATCCAGAGAGTTTGAGCACAACAACTACCGGCGGCAACGTATTCCGCTTCGGTTGTGGATAACGCAACACTGACTTGTTTCTTGCTAAACCATGAAACTAGAGAGCTACCAAGTAAGTGGAAGGTCCCACTCGTACTTTTACGGTCCAATTTGCAACTGGCAAAGTCCGAGTCGGAGTAACCAACCAGATGACACGAAGAGCCTTTTGGATACCACAGTCCAACATTAACCGTGCCTACAAGGTATTTCATGATCCGTTTCACCGCCGTTGAGTGCGATTCCTTCGGACATGATTGATACCTTGCGCAAAGGCATACGCTAAACATGATATCCGGCCTACTAGCGGTAAGGTAGAGAAGGGATCCGATCATACCTTGATACTTTTTGACTTCAACTTCCTTACCTTTTTCGTCTTTGTCTAGGTGGTCGGACGTGCTCATCGGGGTCGCCATGGCTTTGGCGTTGTCCATTTCGAATCATTTTAGGAGCTCCTTGCAATATTTGGTTTGGCAAATGAACGTGCCATATTTCATTTGCTTGACTTGGAGTACCAAAAAGAATGTAAGCTCTCCCATCATGGACATTTCAAATTCGCTTGTCATTAGCGTTGAGAATTCCTTGCATAAAGACTCGTTAGTAGCACCGAATATAATATCGTCTACATAAACTTGAACCAAAAGGATGTTATTGTTTTTACTCTTGATAAAAAGTGTAGTGTCAACCTTTCCCCTATGTAAACCACTATCCAAAATAAATTTACTCAAACGTTCGTACCAAGCACGGGGTGCTTGTTTAAGACTGTAGAGCGCTTTCTTGAGTTTGAAGACATGGTCGGGAAACTCAAAGTCCTCAAACCCCGGGGGCTGGTCAACATACACTTCCTCTTGAATAAAACCGTTGAGGAAGGCACTCTTAACATCCATTTGATAAAGTTTAAAGTCCATAGACGAAGCAAAAGCAAGAAGTAAACGAATAGCTTCTAAACGTGCTACGGGTGCATAAGTTTCTTCGAAATCAATGCCTTCTTCTTGATTGTAGCCTTTAGCCACGAGCCTAGCTTTGTTTCTAGTGATTATTCCATTTTCATCAAGTTTGTTACGGAACACCCATTTCGTACCAATAACCGTACGATCATCGGGTCTTGGCACCAATTCCCAAACATCATTCCGTTTGAATTGGTTTAGCTCCTCTTGCATAGCCAAGGTCCAATGTTCATCGTTTATTTCTTCGGAAATGGTTGTAGGTTCAATTTGAGAAACAAAAGCCATGTGTCCTACGGTGTCCCTATCCTTAAGTGAGTTACGAGTACTTACCCCGCGGTTGATGCTACCGATTACCTGGTCAAGCGGATGGTTCTTGTTTGTTCTCATGCTATGGGAAGCTCGGTTGCTTCTTCTTCGTCTTCCTCTTGTTCTTCTTCTTCCTCCTGATTTTCTTCTTCACCTTGGTTAGTCGCTTGAGGTATCTCCCCAGTTTGCAGCTGTGTGTTGATGTATATTCCCGTGTTTTCTTCATCGTCATCAACGTGTATTCTCTCTAATGAATCTGCAAGATCATCACAAATATCCTTTCTCGCCAAGAGAGGATTATCTTCAGAAAATACAACGTGAGGAGACTCCTCAATAGTCAAGGTACGTTTATTGAAGACTCTATAGGCCTTGCTACGTAATGAGTAACCCAGAAAAATTCCTTCATCTGAATTGGCATCAAATTTGCCTAAATTGTCTTTGCCATTGTTATGAATAAAACATTTGCAACCAAAGACTCGAAGATGGGAAAGATTTGGCTTTCTCCCTTTGTATAGTTCATAGGGCATTTTCATGAGTATCGGTCGAATGACGGCTCGGTTTAACACATAGCTCGCGGTACTCACGGCATCCGCCCAAAAATACTTAGGGATTTTTGCCTCATTGATCATAGTTCTAGCCATCTCTTCGAGACATCTATTTTTACGTTCCATCACTCCATTTTGTTGTGGTGTACGTGGAGCTGAGAAATTATGATCAATGACGAGTTCGTCACATAAATCTGAGAAAAGATTTCGTTCGAACTCTCCCCCATGGTCGCTTCTTATGGCTACTATGGTTGATTCTTTTTCATTTTGAACTTTCTTTAAGAAATTTTTGAAAACATGAAATGCCTCACTTTTGTGAGTTAGAAACAAGGTCCATGTAAACCTAGAGTAGTCATCGACAATCACAAACGCAAAGTAATTGCCACCAAAACTTTTCACTCTAGAAGGACCAAAGAGATCCATGTGCAAAAGTTGAAGCGGTCTAGACGTTGAAAGAACGTTCTTAGACTTAAACGAAGCCCGAACTTGCTTCCCCTTTTGACATGCATCACATATGGTGTCTTTTTCAAACTTAAGTTTTGGAATGCCAATTACTAAGTCTTGTGAAACCAATTTTTTCAAAAGGTTCATGTTCATATGAGCTACCCTTCGGTGCCATAGCCAAGTGTCTTCCTCTTTACTCATGAGGCACTTAGCATAGCCGGAAGGAGATTTGTCTAAATTAACCATATATATGTTATCGATTCTATCACCACGTAGAATGACCTTATTGTCACTAAGGCGTTCTACAGTGCATGATTTTGAATCGAAGGTCACACGGTTTCCCTTGTCACAGAATTGACTTATGCTCAAGAGATTGTGTTTAAGACCTTTGACTAGATAATGTCTTGCTAGTCACCTAGAGGCGGTTTCCCTACTGAACCGACGCCGATAATTTTTCCCTTGCTATTATCTCTAAAGACTACGTTTCCTCCTTTAGCGGGTTTGATTTGTAGGAACTTGGATGCATCTCCGGTCATGTGCTTGGAGCATCCGCTATCAAGGTACCAAAGTACACTTGACGCCTTCAAGCATATATACCTACAAAAATGATTTAATAAGATTTAGGTACCCAAGTCTTTTTGGGTCCTTGAGTGTTAGGTGCAAAGTGGTAGTGTGATTCATTTTGTGCCCAGTGCTTATGCCTAGTAAAGCAAACGGGAGCTATATCTCCTACCCTATTGCAATAATGGCAAACTACGTTTGGGTTGTGCATCCTCCTAGGTTGATAGTAGTTGCTAGGGGGCCTAACCATATTCATCTTGTTTTGAGAAAACATTGGTTTTTGAAAATTTTCCCTTCTAGGTGTCCTAGAATTATTTTGTCTATTTGAAAAATTATTTTTATGCACGAAATCATTTTGATAATTTTTCCTAGGTTGTCTAGCATGCACATTTTCATTCCTAGGTTTTTGTCTAGATTGTCTAGTGTCCCTAGATTGACTAGATTTTCTATTATCCTGATTTTTGACTTTCTTATGTTGAGCCTTAGGAGGTTGTCTAGGTGTTTGCTCAACGTTTTTATCCTTAGATTCATTTTTATCAAAACCTATTCCTTCCTTAGAAAAATGCATAGTGTCTAGGAGTAAATTAAGATCTTTGTGTGGTGTGTTAAACTTCTTAACCGTACTCTCAAGTTTTGCAACCTTTTCTTTTAAAGTTTTGCAAGATTCACATTCACTTGAAGAACTTTCTGGTTTGTCAGCGCTTCTTTTGCCATAAAATTTGTTTTCTTGTTTCAACCTTTCATTATCTTTTTCCAGCTTTTCAAAATCATTTTCAAGGGTTGAAAGACGTTTCTTTAATGATTT